GTATCTCGAAAAACTCGTTAGTCGGGACACTCGTAAGTCAAGGCCCCACTGTACTGGTCATTGTTTTTGGATGAACATGCAGAGTCCCAGATGACTTGCAGGCAGTCCTTTCATTTGTTTGTCTGCAGCCAGGAGCTGCCTGTCAGCATCAGCACCAGCCCCACCTCAGGCCCGGGGGCGGCTGGGAGCTGCCACCTCGGTGACCTGCGCTGGTTGTGGTTTCAGCCGGCGGGGGCAGTGACCTCAGGCTCTGGACGGTGAACGGGGACCTGGTGGGACATGTGCACTGCAGAGAGGTCATCTGCTCCGTGGCCTTCTCCAACCAGCCGGAGGGCGTGTCCATCAACGTGATCGCGGGGGGACTGGAGAACGGGACCGTGAGGTGAGGCGCGTGCGGGGGCTGCTGCTGTTCCCACGGGCACGGCAGCTTCAGAAAGAAGTTTTTAATATCCAGGCATCTTAATATGTAGCAATTGGAAATTTAAAGTCACCTTCAGTTATTCGTGTTTTATTTCTAAAAGACAGCTTTACTGCAGTTTTGAAAGTTTCTGTTCTTTGTTAACCGTTAAAGGTTAACAGTAAGAATTATACCCAGTGGGGTGTTCTTACTGCATCCCCACCCCCGCAAACTTCCCAGAAGTAACTGCTGCTGTTTATTGTGCTTCCTTCTGGGTGATTTTTAACAAACAAGTAGGTGGGCTTTCTTCGCGAAGGGACTTCCGTTGGCATAATTGTGGCGCCTTTCCCCTCCAGGCTCTGGAGCACATGGGACCTGAAGCCTGTGCGGGAAATCACGTTTCCCAAGTCCAACAAGCCCATCGTCAGGTAAGCCTCCCTCCCTCGCTTCACACTGGGCTCTGTGAGTGCATTTTGTTGGACATGAGCACACACCGACCTAAAGAAATCTGTGATGGGAGTTTCATAAACAGCCAACACCTATCAAACCCCAGGTTGTCCGGCCCCAGTGGCCAAAGGAGGCCCAGTCCTTGTCTACGTGGAGCTTAAATCTGAGTCAGGAGCCGAGTCTAACCCACGGGCACACGGGGCGGGGCCAGGAAAGGCCTAGAGTGGAAGCGATGTCTTTCCTTCCTGTTGAAGAGACGGTCATGTGACTGATAGCCCAGGGCGTGCCTGGCAGGACCCATCTGCTCGGCCCCTCCTCCGACTGAAAACTCGATTAGACATAAGGAAGTCAAATTCTACCCTATTAAATACATTTACTTTCAGTATGCTAAATTTCCAGTTTAATGACCCTAAGTTAATAATTTATTTTTATATTTAAGTGAAATTAAATATCTCCATAAATAATCATTTATTTCTCTAAAGAGAAAAGGTAGAACTGTTACATTTTTAAAGTTTCCTATGCCCAAGTGTTTGTGTTGACATCATAAAGGATAAACAGGAAGGAACAGGAAAGTGGGGAAGGAGGGGATGGAGCCGACACTGCTCCTTTTCGCCTGTGGGAGGAGCCCCCAAGGTGCCCGCGGGGCCCCTGGACCACATGCCAATCAGCCGGACCCGTGGCCGTGGCAGGCATGCGGAGAGCGTCACTTCTCCACCCAGATCCCCGTGTGATCACCCGTGTTAGACAGCTTTTCTCTCCCACAGCCTCACCTTCTCCTGTGACGGCCACCACCTGTACACCGCGAACAGCGAGGGCACCGTCATCGCCTGGTGCCGGAAGGACCAGCAGCGCCTGAAGCAGCCCATGTTCTGCTCCTTCCTGAGCAGCTACGCGGCCGGCTGAGGGCCGGCGGGGCGTCCGAGAGCCTGGCGCTCCGTCAGGATCTGTGGCTTCAGTTTAGGAGGCTGAACCTGAAGAAACGATGAGCAAACACACCTCCCAGATGATTATAAAACCTCTTCATCTGCATGGACCTCTGCAGCTCCCAGGGCGCTGGGCGGAGGGTCTCGCTGTAAGTGGTGGTCGGGCGGGTGACGGCGGGCATGGCCCGCAGGACTGGGGCCTCCGTGAGTCAGTCACATTCGTCAAGTTTCTTCTACGGAAGAGATGAGGGCCCCCCGTTTCTATCATTCCAACAGTTTATGCCGAGATAACTCCTCACCACCTGCCCCCCGCCCCCCAAAAAAAGGAAAGTAAAAGGTCAAGAAGTCAGGACTTGGTGATTACCAGGCGTTTTACGGGCTGGCTGGCCACCGGAAACAGACGACTAACGACTCTGTTAAACAGCAGCTGCTGCCAGGCCTTCGTAGCTCAAACAGACCCAGAATTTGTTGACCTCCACCCACAAGAACAGGGGTAGCCTCTATTCAGACACGTTCTCTGTCTCCATAAAAATCCTGTTTAAAACCATAACACTAGCCACTGCCTGCCCTTAGCCGAGTCACGAAGATGGAAACCCGGTGATCGCTCCTCACGGGAGCCTCCACTGCCGGGCGTGCACAGCCGGGCGAGCCGCAACGTGCAGGAGGCTTCCCCCCAGGGAAGTGACGGCTCGCTTTGTCTTAAAAAGGCTGGACAACCCCGCGGGACCGTTTCCACTCTGGTTCTGCTAACGGTGCCGCCTGAGAATTCCAGCGACAGTGGAGACACCTCCCTGTGTGCCCAGCGCTGCCGCCCTCAGGACCGAACCCCAGAGCTCCGGGAACAGCCTCCCCCCTGGTTGCGGCCGTGTGTCCACTGGGAGCTGCTGCATCGGCTGTGAAGACACTAATAGCTGAGTGACACGTGACCACACGATACACACGTGTTCCTGCCTAAGAATACCGGTGCGATTGTGTGAAAATGTGACTCCTACCGTGTTTACAGAACTACTTTGTAACTTCCAGACTTTCTAAAACATTCTGCGTAAAAACTGCAGGAAACACGATTCCTGAGTCTCCGCGTGGATGGATGCAAGAGGCAGCAGGGGCCGGCCACAACCTGGAGCCGCACCCACTGCCTCGCACAGACCTGGGGCTCCGGCCCAGGCGGAGGCGACCTTCCTCCCGTTCACGTTGCAGTGATCTGCTTGTTTTAAAAAACTGCAGCTACTGTCTGCTTTCACTTTTCTACTGAGAGCGTTCAATGAGTCCCATTAGAAGAGGGTTGCTACTCAGTCCTTTATTTTTAAGGCTGAATTCCGTCATTTATCTAAAGAAATATGCAAAGTGACTGGTCTTGTAAAGAGTGCAATGTTCTATTTTTATGTAAAATAAACATGAATCCGGGGGGATTATTTATTCAGCATGAAGCTAATACGTATGTTTAAACGCCTCCCGGCCTGTTGCAGCGGACACTCTGTGAATGACGGCCTTCCCTCTGTCCTCACTGCCGCTCAGCCCGGGAGTAAATGTCATAAAACAGACTGCAGGCGGCTCTTTACACGACCCAGGTCTGTGGCCAGGCTCAGGCCGATGCCCTGATGTATGACCCGCCCAGGTTCTCCCTGAGCGCCTTAGGAAGGCACGTCCGGGGGCAAGGACCCCGCCTGCACCCCACCTCCCTCCCTGGGCCTGGGAGGCGCACTGCAAGGGGATCAGGGGGAGCGGGAAGGCGGGGCGGGGAGCCTAGGG